CATGTTTTGTACACATCAGTAGTAGTTTTAGCACATCTAGTATAATGTCAACCATCTGGTATTGTTCCAAGTGGCCCTTCCACACAGCAATAGTACAGTGACAACAATTCCTCAAGACAGTGAGTGGCTCTGGGGTCCTACTAGGTCCCAAAGAACTTTGCCAATAATCAGAAAAATCATGGTAAGTCTAGTTTGGGTGCTTAGTGTATTTTCTATTTTCATTCTTTGAAAATAGCTAATTCTATTAAACAATGACACTCCAGACCCCAAGCATGCAGCATATTTTGCTTACTTATCACTGTATGATAAACTACTTTATAAGTTAGTAACTTAAAAATAGAATCATTTTATTATATTTTAAGGTTATTCTGGATGAAGAATTTGGCCAGGACTCATATGGGTCTTCTGTTTCATATAGTATCAACTGGAATGCCTGAGGTGTAGCAGGATAGTCTGGAGGTTCCAAGTCAACTTTACTCATAATGGCACCCTGGCAGGGACAGGTAAAACACTGGGCTCACCTGGATTCCTCCCTTTCTATTTACACTAAGGTCCTTACCACATGGCCTCTCCGGCTTGGGTGTTGGATATGATATATGGTGATTTGAAGCTTCCATAGCAGGTGTTCCCAGAGATAAGTGCAAATTTTCTCTCTTAAGGCTCGAGCCTGAAAACAGACAAAATAATCCCTTCTGTCATATTCCATTGGTCAGACCAGTTCTAGAGCTCATGTAGATTTTCAAAGTGGGTAGGGTATAGACATAACCTTTCAGTGGGAGGAATATCAAAGAATCTGTATCCACATTTATTTCATCACACTTACAAAATTAGTTATATAGAGGTATTTTGTTACTCATCAGCCATGTTTTTCACCACACTTGCTTTTACCTTGTGCATGCAATTAAATTAATTCATTAAAAACAATTGTCATACTACACTGAGTGACAGCGCAGTGCTTAAGAACATTAAAGTTAGACTAACCTGACTTTGAATCCTAGGTCTGCCTCTTACTCACTTTGTAACCTTGGGCAAGTAACTAAACCTTTCTGAGCCCCAGTTTCTTTATCTATAAAATGAAGAAGAAGAAGAATACCTAGCTTACAGGTCTTTTAGAACAAGATTATATAAAATGCTTAACACAATGCCTAGCACATTGTAAGCACTCAATAAACAATTATAGCGATGATAATTATTGATGATACAGCATTGTAACTGATTGCTTGACTTTTTCCAAACTAAACTACGAAGTCAAGGATTTTGTCTTACTCATTCCTCTAACCCCAACACCCGGTAAAGGGCTTGGCATCATAATATTGAGTAGATGGACAAATGGATAACTGAACTACAGCACAGAAATGTCATTTGCTTCCATTGTAACTCCCTAGTTCAGATATGTACAGAGAATGCAGAATGATAATAATGCCAGATAACTAACTACTCTAGGTTGAGTAAGTGCAAGTTGCTAGGCAGCAGAAAGGCTTAAAGCTACACTGAAACATTACATGATTTTAACTCTGTGGAGCAAACTGGCCCAAATAACACCACAGCATTTGCAGCATTTCCAGTAAGCTGGGATTTTCGGAAGTACATGATTCAGAAGAAAGAATACAAACCAACATTTTATGACACTTCTGCCAATGACTGTGCCGAGAGTCAAAAAGGCATTAGGGAAAGGGGGCCAGAAGAAGAAATGGTAAAAGCAAGACAGAACAGGGTATTTATTGGGAAAAAGGAGTTTGGAGAAATACCCCTTGGCCTTTCCATGGTGCTTTATAAAGACATTTAAAATCTCCTTCAGAAGATTAAATTTCTAACATAAAATTGTTGGACTTCTTTGATTTTTCAGGTTCTACAGTACTTGTATGAGGCCCATGGTTTCAACTGGGTATTTTCTTAGTTAGCATTGGAAATTCATGTCTCCTTTGCTACTCAATGGTTGAAAACAAAGAAAAGAAATAATCAATGGGTTAGGATAGGAATCTTTGAAATGTCATGTACAACTTGCCCTCTAGCAAGCCCTGCTGGGCAGTATAGCCTGTGGAAGTCTTGACATATTGAATGCCAAGGGGAAAAAAGGAGTTTATCTACTCTGGCTTTAGCCACATGTCATGAATACATTTGCCTTTAAATGAATTTCATAAAATATTAATGTAATCATACCAAACAGCAGAGTGGTGAGTATATTAGTCAGGAGTTATATTTATCCTGTGTATTTGTTTGTTGTTTGTCTCCATTTATTAGTAGACAGTACATAGAGACAGACATTTCTTTCATAGTCAAAGTGGCAGAACTTGTTTATTGAACTGATATTTCTGTAATCTGTGGTAAGGTAGAGTTGTGAGTGAGTGACAGAGCTATATGAATAACAATGAGGAGATAGGCAGAACAATAATAGGAAGGCAAACATTGCAGTTGGAGGGAAAATAGATAGTATTGTTTAGTTGGCATACTATCTAATCTAATCTTTTCCCACTGAAAATTAGCAGTTTTAAATGGGTGAAGTAATGTTAACAATTTTTCCAAAGTCATACATAAAGAATGAAATTTTCCAAAGACCTAAATGGCATTCTTAACCACAGTTCTTTTATTCTACAGCATAGGAACAGAGTGTGAGGGACCTTAAGTTCTCCACAATGGAAAGGAAGACCTGGACCCCAGTCTCCATCTGCCTAGAGCCTGAAATATACAATACAATCATAAACATTTGAGGAATGTGGAAATGAATGCCTGAAAAAGTGAATTTATTAGTGTGTGTATACATGTTTTGAATGAAAAGAAGGAAAGTTACCTATCAGTACTGCTACCTATCAAGCTAGAGGTTTCCTTATCTGTTCCGTGCTTTCACCCTTTGAGATAAATGTCATTATTTACCCCCACTTTATCAAAAAGGGAATGGAGGCACACAGATTTTAAGAAACCTTCCTCAAGGTCATATAACTAATATATGAGGGACAGTAGGAATACAACAACTACAGGGAAGAAGGGAAGGAGTATGTATGTATACATGCATGTTGGGTAAGGTGACATTGGAAAATTAAAGGTAATTTTTTTTCAGAAAACATAAAATCTTCCTATATATGTCTAGGATCTTGACATCTCAGTATGACATACATGTAAAGGATGGGGAATGCCCTAGCTCTCTTGGTCTGACTTGCAATGGGAGATGTCCATGTGTCATACACCTGCCTATCTGCCTAGTTGCAAGATTCCCTCTCACTGGGCCCATTACACCTGAAGTTCTGCTCTTGTAGGAACTGCAGATTCTTCCCACTGCTTAGATCTACTTCTTTCAATATCTTAGAGACCCACCCTGGGAATTCAGAGCAACCTTGAGATATGCTTACAGGCATTTCCCCTCAGACCTGTGTGTTGAACAAAGTAAAGATTTCAGGCATAGGCCCTGCTATGCTAATGTGGCTGCCCCTATATTATCAGAACTCTTTAGCCAATACTTTGTTTGCAGTCCACTGTGTATTCTACAGCACAGGACAGAGGTGAGAGGTGGGAAAATAAAGAAGTAAAATGCATGCCCTTCTCTCAAAGAACTTGCATTTGAATAGAGAGACAAAATGTAAACAATGAAGTCAGTACCACGTTTAGAGCCAGGCAAAGGGGAGGGGGGACTGCCCTGGGCCAGTACCTCAGGGGAACTCATTCTTTGGCATGACTGTCTTGATACTTTTCTTAAGTCCCTTTCCAGTACTGAGCACTGGCCAGGTAGGCAGTGCCATCAGGGTAGTTCCTCAAGTCCAGAGCAGGTCCTATGTGTTTTTATTTAATCTCAAAAAGCACCTTTCTGGAAATATTTGAAGTTTCGCTCCAGTGTCTAGAATTGACCAGGGCTTATACACTCATCTAGGCAAGGATCCCTGATCTCAAACTCAATCTATATGAACACCAGTTCCCATGTATCCCCTTTGGGGTACTTTCCAGCACTCTATTCCACATGTGGAGTCCACTAGATGCCCTCAAGGAGCCTCAGAACTAATGCCTATGGAGTCTTCATAGAGGCTTGGTTCCAGGAGAGCAGCCTCGCAAGTAAATCAATCCAGCTGCCTGCTATGCTATTTCTTTCATGGTGTTGCATACGATTGTACCAACAGAATAGTGTTAACACTGATTTGGAGTGAATCAAATTTTGTATAAAGATGAGCCCCACAAAAAATACTTGATTGGGCACCCTCAATTCCCTGAATGAAACAAAGGATGACATAAAATAAAATTCAGTGGCAACATTTGTAGAGCAAATGGTTGTTAGACAGAATTGAGCAATAACCACAATTACCTGGAAAGGGTATTTCAGGAAGGTTGAGCCTTAAGCCAGGCCTGTGGGAATGGGGAGAATTTGGGGAGGCTCAGATGATTCCACACAAGGAGAACAACAACAGCAAAGGCACAGAGAATAGTTATTTATGGAGCATTTTCTCCTGTGCATTATGCTAAGTGCATTACATTCGTCATTTTGTTTATTCCTCACAGCTCCCTATAAGGTAATGGAATTAACCCTATTTTGCAAATGAGGAAGTGGAGGTTCAAAAAATTTATTCTTCTCAGCAAATAGTGGAACTAGGACCCAGGCCTTCCTCATCCCCCAAGCTCTATGCTCTTAATACCATCCTATACTGCAAAAAGTCAAGAAGTGTTACAAGGGATAGCAGGAAGCCTTATCTGAATGGAGCAAAGGTTATTGTGTTGGAAACCACTGGAAGGTGAGACCAACAGAGAAGGCACAGTCATATTATAAAAGGCCTCGGATGTCAAAATGAGATGTAGAGGCAAATAGGCACTGGTAAAACATAACCAAAAAGCCCTGTCTCAAAAGGAAAATGTATTCATATAGTATAATATTTAAGACCTGGTAATGTTAATACCATGTATTATTAAATATTCTGCCTCTGTGTTAGAGAGACCTTTGGTATAAAGCTTATAAGGTAACATTATGCCTCTGTTTGACTTGGCCTAGTGTCATTTATTGTTCTCTGTTTCCTTTCCTTTTTTAGACTTTGATCCTGCTCTTGGAATGATGACTGGAATTCCACCAATAACTCCAATGATGCCTGGCTTGGGAATAGTACCTCCTCCAATTCCACCAGATATGCCAGTAGTAAAAGAGATCATACACTGTAAAAGCTGCACACTTTTCCCTCCAAATCCAAGTAATATTCTGCTTTTTCTCCACATAAGTCAACATAAGTCACAATGTTTTGTTTTCTAGGAAAACTTTCTTCTTTTTCAAAAGAATACCCAAGAGCTTCATAGATGTATGTACAGAAGTTTCGACTAAAAGAATACAGGAAAATTTTCACCTTACTAGGCAAGGCTGAATTTTCTGCACAGAGCAGTAGATTTCTGTGTGCTGGTTGTGTTACAAATGATAAAATGTATTTTTAATGTCATCTAATAAGGGATTCAAGTGTGTTAGTGCCTCGGCCCGCGAGGCAGTCAACGGGGTCCACCGATATACCTGTAATGGATGAAGGGGGATGGGACAGGAGGCGCGAAGAATGGCAGCAAGACAAAGGATTCTGATCAAGCTGCAAATTTTATTTCAAAATGGAGGGAGTTATATAGAGGAGGGCAGTGGAGGAAGTGCAGTGGATAGGTGGCTTCAAAGCGTGCTCTAGCCTGCGATTGGCCGGGGGGTGCATGGCGGGTGCGTGATCAAGGCACTGATTGGTGTGCCACCCGCATGTCCAGGAGGGGGAGTTCTATGGCTCCTAACCGCAGCATCCTGTTATTCAGGCGCAACCTTCAGGTCGGATTGTATCAGCCTGTTTCAGGCTTATCCCAGCCCCCAACATGTTAGTAAAGAAGGAAGCACCTGACACAAATTGCTCAACACTCATTTGCAGGCTCTTTTTCACAACTGGCTTACATTCTGATGATGGCAGAAATAGAGTGTGTTCTGAGCCTGACTGAGGCACATAAGAATATAAATTTGGTGCCAAAAATCCTACAGTGCTACCAGTTACTCACACATCAGTCAAACTGTTGTCATTCAACTGATGGGCTGCAGTAGACAGTGAGATCAAGTTCAGCTTACCATGAGGACAAGAGGAATATTGAGTCTAGTTCAAACTACTTGTAGCTATTCAGTAAATGCAATTCATGTAGAAGTGATCCAGGTATCTATCTTGACAGTAACTAATAGGTTTTTCCTTAGACTCTTAAAAATATCTGCAAAGATATGGTACTCATTTTTCAGTTTAAATGTAACAGCAATAATAATTGACTCAGGTTTTTTTCCATATCTATTCGGGATTTTATATTTTCTTAGAATCATCAAAAGTTACATCTTCAGGCTTCCAGTCAAGATGAAGGTGTAGGTAGACACCCCTCACCTTGTTGCACAACCATAAGAAAGAACAAAATTGCCAGAAAAACACCTAGAACTGTATGAAAGTCCAACAACCAAGGATTTAAAGAAGCTGTATTCATCCAGATGGAAGGAGGGGCAGAGAGCACTCAGTATGGCAGCAGTGAGTGGGGTGGGGTTGGGCAGAGAGGTGGAGAGGCAGCCTGGCACAATGGACCACCCCACATTCACATGTGGTGTATAAAAATCAGGGGGATACCTTGTGAGTGAGCGAGCAAGCCTAGCCCAAGGCCACACTGCACAGTCCAGGGCTCCAGCACTGGGGAAAAGCAAGCCTCATAACTTCTGGCTGTAAACCCAGTGGGGGCTGGGGTGGTGGAAGACACTACCAGTTTCTCAGAAAAGCCTGGAACATATACAAACCCATCCACCATCAGAACCACAACCAGGACAGCAGCTCAAGGGGCACCAGTCATACACAGGAAGTAGATGAAGTGACTAGAAATGTGGTGAGAGCCTAACAAGCCCCCAGAAGTCAACCCACAGCAGCATTGTTCCCTCTTTGACTCCTCCCCCACACACAGAGCCACAATTGCCCTGCCCTGGTGAATACCCATGGCTCTGTCCTGTACAACCTAACAGATGCACCAAAATGGAATCAAAGTGGCTCTACCTAGTACACAGACACAGGGAGGCTTCCAAAACCAGGAGACAAAGAAATATGGCCCAAATGAAGGAACAGAACCCCAGAAAAAGAACTAAGTGAAGAGATAGCCAACCTATCAAGTGCAGAGTTCAAAACACTGGTAGTGAGAATGCTCAAAGATCTCATTGAATATGGCAAAAGTATAAGGGAAGAAATGAAGGCTATACTAAGTGAAATAAAGAAAAATCCACAGGAAACCAACAGTGAAGGGAAGGAAGCCAGGATTCAAATCAATGATAGAACATAAAGAAGAAATAAACATCCAACCAGAGTAAAATTTAAAAAACAAGAATTCAAAAAAAATGACAGTTTAAGAAGACTCTGGGACATCTCAAAAAGTATCAACATCCAAATCATAGGGATGCTAGAAAGAGAAGAGAAAGCAAGAATTGAAAACTTATTTGAAAAAATGATGAAGGAGAACTGCCCTAATTTGGTAAAGGAAATAAACATACAAGTCCAGGAAGTACAGAGAGTCCTAAATAAGTTGGACCCAAAGAGGTCCACACCAAGACACATCATAATTAAATTTCAAAGATTAAAAATAAATAATCTTAAAAGCAGCAAAAGAAAGGCAGAGAGTTATTTACAAAGGAGTTCCCATGAGACTGCCAGCTCAGTTCTCAAAAGAAACTTTGCATGCAAGAAGGGACTGGTAATTATTCAAAGTGATGAAAAGCAAGAACCTACAACCAAAATTACTCCATCCAGCAAAGCTGTCATTTAAAATTGAAGGACAGATAAAGTGCTTCCCAGACAAGGTAAAAGCTAAAGGAGTTCGTCCTCACCAAGCCCGTATTATATGAAGTGTTAAAGGGACTTATTTAGGAAAAAGACAAAAGCCAAAACTATAAACATTAAAATGACAAAAACTCACAACTGTCAACAACTGAATCTAGACATCAAAAACAAACTAAGCATACAACTAGAGCATGAATAGAATCATAGATATGGAGATCATTTGGAAGGTTATCACTTGGGAGGGGGAACAGAAGAATGGGGAAAAGGTATAAGGATTTAGAAGCATAATTGGGTAGGTACAGAATAGACAGGGGGAGGTTAAGAACAGTAGTCGATGGAGAAGCCAAAGAACTTAAATGCATGACCCATGGACATGAACTAAGGCAAGAGAATCCCTGGAGGTAAGGGCGGAAGCAGTGAAGGGGGGGGCAAAGGGGAAAATTGGGGCAACTGTAATAGCATAATCAATAAAACATACTTTAAAAAAGTTACATATTCACATTCACATAACCTAAGCCCCATCAAAGCTTCTTCCACGGTTCTAGTGGTATTGGGTAGCCTACTTAAGGGGGGCACCACTATAGTGCTAAGATATTAAAACTGTTTGTTAAGGGAAACACTCAGGGGTCCAGGCCATAGATCAAATGAACTTGCCTAACACAATAAACGAACCTTTGACATGTGACTTAAGACAACTATTTCATCTCCTATCTTACATAAAAACCAGTTAATCATGGAATCAGAACCTGGCAGAGCTGCAGAATCTATTTTGTATGGTCTGCTCATAACAGAGGATTTTAGAATCAGGCAGGGTTGGTTGAACAAATTACCCTAGCTTCTCTTGCTAGTGAAAAATGTTGTTAGTACCGTTTTCCAAACTGAATTTGTCAGCAGGGACTTCCTTCCAGACCAATAATAAATTTAGGAAACTAGCACCCCAGAGGACCAAATTAGGAGGATCAGCATATCACAGAAGAATTAGGAAATGAAGAATAAGATGGTCCTAGAAGGCCTTGCCTGCTAGTTCATGTGGCTATTTCTAGTTTGTGTTTAGTGCCTAGGTTAATGAGTGAGATTGCTGTACTATTGTCTCATACTCTTAGTGTCACTGTCCTCACAAATGGACAATAGCCTTTTTTCCCTTTCTTTCATTATGGTACTTTTATAATAGAGAAAGCTGTGCATTCCCTACACTACCTTTTTTCACTTCAAGGCCATGAATTTAGGCATTGAAATGTGCAAAGCCTCCTGCTTATATAAAGATAGAATCCTGGTGTTTTAGCCATTCATTTATCACATTATTAACCTGTACTAGGCTTTCATAGTCTTAATCAAGTCTAGTCTAACCAGATGGCTCATAACCTGTAATGTCTGCATAGGGTGCAAGGGATGACTTTGCAGTACATTCAGTTCCTGAATTTAGAAACAATAGCTCAGATACAACTAGGTTCCTTTGTACGACACATAGACCTCATTGTTGAGCAGTGTTTAACTGAATATAGAAATATATAGCTTAAAGAGTCTCTGATTTTTTATAGTCTCTAGTAAAGGAAACAGAGATCTCTCATGTGAAACAGAAATCTTTGTTGAGAAAGATTTCTTAGATGCACTTAGATGAGAAATCAAGTGCATTTATCTTTTCTCACCTACAGCCATTCCTTCTTAGTTCTGAGTTGGAAGGGCTACAGTGTGAGAGGGAAGCATTTTATCTTCACAACTTAATCCTTTAGAACTTCAGCTTTGTTTTAATAATGCTGACAAGACAATTAGTACCAGTAAAGTGGTGGTTTCTGCGAAGGAGCCTGGCTTTGGAACAGAATTCAAAAAATAACACCCCCAGAACAGCTTAAACTGGTGTTCTATTTCTTTTAGAACTTTAATTTTGTTTAAAGGGTGCTCAGTTTGAGTGGAGAAAATACTAATGCCTGCCTTAATTTTCTGCTAAAATCATGGCAAACATGCCATTTTTTTGTGAACAGCCCCAAGGTTTTGTCATGGTGAGATGGGAAGAACAGTTAAGACAGGAAAAGCAGGGATTTGTTCTGATTGAATCCCTCATCTTCTCGAGAGCCCACTGAGCCAGTCTGATAAAGTCTTGATTATAAATCCCAGTACTCACTCAATATGCCTGTCTCTGGTATATTCTCTTGCACTCAGTGGCCTCTCAGCAACAAGATCATGTGATTTTAGGGGCTCTTTATGCACCTGTGTAATGTGCTTCTTTTTGTCCCTTCATTAGAAAGTTTAGCATCAATTTCTTCTCCTCTCTCCCACCTGACACTTCATCCAGATGCCTGTCACATATACAGAACCGTAAAAGTCAAAGGGCTACCATTAACCATAAATTCAGAGTCCAACTTGACTTCGAATACCTTTCACTGATCTGCTTTGTG